AGAGTAAATTTTGTTAATAAAATAAAAATTTACTTCTAGAACACTAATGTTTATATAAAAATGATCATATTTGCCACCAACATGATTAAATTGATCGTGGTATATGACAATTGAGTCATTTAATAAAATTTTACTCATATTTTTGTTCGTATTTAGGCAACTATTTTCATGCTTTAGGCTACTAAAAGCAACTATTTTGTTCCTTTTTTTCTGTGGCAACCCTGTATATACAAATTTTAAAATTTTATTTATTTGCTTTTCAGGGTTCTTCATGAACATATGCAGAAATTGTCTCAAGTTATTACGCCAGATCATAAGGATTTGCGAATACCTAAGGTATTAAAATCTTTATACTGTTATTATTTGATAAATTGTTGTATGGTTGTGAAACCTTATTTTCTTTAGTGTAATTGGGAATAATAACTTTTAACATGCCCTTAAGCATACATAATGCCATTAAACAGCTGAGGAAGAGAAATATGTTCGATCGTATGTTGCGAAATACGTTCAATCAAATATCCTACCTTCACCGTAACTTTCAATGAAACTTAGAAACAAATTTTTATTGCATTTGTACAAATACTTGATCTTGATTAATTCAGGTTGGAAGATTTTAAATCTTAAAGTAGCTTTATTCCTAAAGCTACAGATTTTTTCTAATGATATTTTTTAGTCTATTTTTTGCTGAAAATATACAAGTTTGAGAACGTTATTTATAACTGGTTTCTTAAATGTTGGAGACAAGCTTCTGGGGGAATTCAGGCACATCATAAGGATTAAAATTCCATAGGTACCCATGCCTAGAAATGTCCTCGTGTGTACAAGTACTTGACCTGTTTAAATAGGAAGGCACCCCAAGCAGTTTGTGACAGCTTTTCGGGGCATGGGTACTCATGCTAATCCTGATAATGTGCCCAAATTCTCCCAGAGGTTTGACACAACATTTGTGCGACTCCTTGTTGTGTGTAATGTTTTTTAATTTGTATTGAAAAATTGATTGATAATGCATAGCTGCCAATTCTTCTGGATTTTACCAGTTTCTCCTGGTCTACTGGTTTAATTAAAATTATCCTAGTTTTTGTACATTTTAGAAAATTCCCTGAAATTGAGTTAAGTTTTCTAAAAATATCTCTATTGAAATAGAATTTTTTTACACATTATTGCTTGCTTAAATATTTAAATAAGTGTTACATAAAGAAGTGAACCTCATTTATAGAAATCAACTTTTTTTGCTATAAAATTTTTAGTTTATTTTTATTCTGAACTCCCTTTTTAAATTAATTTTAAAAAAATTCAACTATCTTTGATGAATTAAATTCCTACTAATATTCGAAATTACGAACATTCATAATACATAATATTTCAAGTATGTTTAATGTCAATTATAACTGGAAAGTATTGCAGTTTTTCTATTTTGATGACTGTAAAAATCCCTATGTGTAAAACATTTAGTACATTGTGCAACAATTATCATGAAATTTATATTATTTTGGAAATTACTGGATTTTTTTCCCCATCCATGTTGGCAGCTATGATAATGTCACTTTTAAAAAAATGTAGCTTGAAGAAGAAAACCGATTGCAGTTTTGAGATCAGCAATATGAAAATATCCAAAATCCATTAAAAAATCTCATGCAACAGAGTTTTGGCACTATACAACCGCATCTAGCGGTTGAGCTGTACATTCAATAAATATCCTACCTTCATCATATTGAATTTTAAATAAGCCTTTCAATATTTGTACAGTAGGGAACCGATTGTCCGGAACGATCGGGTCCATCGCTATTCCGTATAACTGATTTTTACGGTTTTCTGAATTGCTACAAAAAGCAGTTTTTTTCATTGTTAAACCAAACAAAAAAAAATATTTGAAAATAATCTTAAAAAGAAGAAAAAACGATGAAGTAATACACTAATGATTATTTCCAAAATTATGGTAAGGTAGACATCTTTCAAAAAAGAAAAAAAATCCTAAAACCTTAAGAGGGAAAAAAAAAATGTTTTTTTAAATGGCGGGAAAATTTATCGAATTTCGTTCCGGTTTTCTGATTTCCGGATAACGGGTCCTGTACTGTATTTGCTTTTTTAGTGTTCACCTTTTTCTAATTTTTTTTTTAATTAAAAACATAATTAGTCAAACTTTTTTTAGTTTTCAATTAAAATCTCTTCGTTTGCAGATATATCATTCTGAATGTCCTTGGCCTTCTGCACAAGCTGAACTTGTCAATATAAATGCTTACAAAGTAAGTTATTTGAATACAATAATATTTATTTTAATTATTTATAAAGGTTAATATTACATGAATTAAGTTTGATCTGTTATAGAAACATTGCATTTTGAGTGTAAACTAAGATGTAACTTTAATGAAATAATTAACTTAATATTGTTTTATTTAAAAAAAAAAATTTAAGCTAAAAATTGCAATAATATTTTTGGTTTTGGTATAAAATTGGATGATGTAATATTGCATGAGATTATTATCACGATCCTTTCAAGCCAGTTTATAAAAACAGCAAAAGATGTCAATCTTATTAATGAACAGGTAACGAAATATATGGAACTATAACACAAAATTCTCAACGAGGCAAAGCCTCAGATTTCAATTTTTGCGTTTTAATGATCTTCTGTAATAATATTTTGAAAGAAATTAATTTGAAGATGAAAAAGGAAGTAAAAATTACTACTTAAGCCGATACTTATTCAAGGACAAACTCATTACTAATAAACAGTTATCACCCCTATAGTAATTTATAGTAGTAAAACCTGGACTTTGTGAAACAAAAATAAAAATAACTTATTAAAATTTTGAATAAAAATTTTTTAACAGATTCAGATAAACAATTCACAGTGGAGACAACATAAAAATACTGCAATTTTGGATAGCATGTGTAAATTTTTGTATGCAATATTACATTTAATGGATGAGTAAATATAATAGAAAGTCCCATATCCTGAATCGTCCAGAAAATGAATTTTTCCAGTTATAATAGTTTAGGATAAAGCATAGTGTTTGGGATAAACAGACATCATTACTCAATGAATAATACCAAATAAATGACTAATTAATGTCAATTTCATACAGCAATGTTTTCTTGTGGCGTTAATTTGACCTTTTTTATGAATAAAGACACATTTTTCTCTTCTTGTTTTTCTATTTGTTGTGAAGATTTAGCTAGGCAGATAAAATAAAAATTTTAAAAAAAAACTCATATTTCAAAAACTAATGTAAAACAAGGAACAAAATAGAGTAAATTTTGTTAATAAAAACAATCTAAAGAGAAACAAAGCTTGTCTGCTGATGTTCTTTTCGATTACTGCAAGGTAATTAAGAATGAATATAGCAATTACAAACAGCTATAACTATTGAATGAAAAATAATTTATCGATAAAACTAATATTGTATGTAGATGGAGCATCAAAATTTCTTTATGTCAGGCTCGGTAAAGCGGAATTCTACGCATGCGCGAGTTCAGTAGTGAAGTGGCGAGTCCCATGCAGAAAGCATTCTGCTTATTGGAATATAACAATTGCCGTTCTGTTATCACAATGCAGAGAAGATTTCGTCAGTGTTACAATCAAAACAATTGGAGATCACAAAGAACGAATTTGTTATTGCGTTTGTCTTAGTGACTGCACAAATGCTTCATAATGTATGGCGTAAAATGGACTACCGCCTAGGTGTTATATGTGTGACCAAGGGAAGTCACATAGAAAATCTGTGTCGCATGTATACAAAATTTTAATGTTCCTTCTACATTCTGTGTAAATTTTATTGATAAATTCTTTCTCATGAAATAGTTATAGCTATTTGTAATCACTATATTCATTTTGAATAACCCCATATTTGTATTCATCTTTGTTAATAATCATAGTTTAATCTTCTTACCCAAGTTTGTTCTCCTTTAACTGCTTTTATGTTTATAACAACCCTCTTAGTCGACAGAAACAATATTTAGCTAATAAGAAAGAAAAAAGTTTTTGTTAATATTTTTTAACATATCCCAATCTTAAAAAAATTGAAGAAGGAAAAGAGATTATTTTAATTGTAAAAGGGTACCTGGAAAATAGATGTCTCCATTAAAGGAATGTCCGGATTTGTACTTTATTACATTAGTGCTCTATATTTTAAATTTTTTTTTTCAGACACCTAGAGATAAAATCCAGTGTGTATTGCGTTGCTGTAACACGATTATGAATCTCTTAAGTATGGCTAGTAATAAGTCTGTTCCTGCTGCTGATGATCTCATGCCAGTACTTGTTTATGTGCTCATCAAAGCTAATCCTCCTCACCTCCTCTCAACAGTACAGTACGTAAATACTTTCTACGAGAAGCAGCTGGAAGGAGAAGAGGCCTATTGGTGGACCCAGTTTGCATCCGGTGTCGAATTCATTAAAAATATGGATTATTCTTAAAAGAGAGTGCATGCAGAGAAGTTACATTTACTCACAGTTTACATGGAAACGACACAGTACTGCCATCTGGTGGGAAATGGTTCCGATGTAATGATTTGTTAGTGATGGCGTGAGTTATGTGGTTGTGTTTTGTCTTGTTTGGTCACATGTTGAATTCTTATCTAAAGATAGCGGAAAATATGGAAGGAAAATGTTTACTTATTTTATGGATGTTTTTAAAAAAAATTTAACCAATTTTTTTTACTTATGTTATACCATTGTTTAAAGATTTTTATTTTAATATATACTATATTAGGAAAAATGCACATTAAAATTGAAAGGTTTTCTGAAAAAAGGAAATCGCATCTCGTGTATCGTTTTATTTTATTTTAATTACTATTTTATAAACTATTTACTCGCATTAGTCATATAACACAACCAACTCCTTGATAGACTACTACTTTTTTTTCAGCTCAATGAATTCTAATTATTTGAGAACTAATATACTTAAAGAATTTAAGGATCAGTTTTTCAGAGAAAAATATATTCCTATTTTAATAAGCTATTGCATAGATACCTACTAAAACTCATTATTGGATAAATGCCAAAACTGTTGCTCTATGCTAAATGCTTTAACAGTGTAAATATAAAAAAATATGAAGTTGGCGCTATTTCTTTTTTGCAGAAAATCCTTCAATTTATTGTTGTTGTTATTTTTAAAGCTAATATACCTTCTTTTATTACTTGATGAAGGTTATTTGAGGTCTTTACAAGTATCTAATTGATTTTCTGTCTGTTTCACTTATATTGCTTTGCTTTAAAACGTCTTACATAAAAACAAAGTATTAAGCAGGGATATACTTATATTGCATGAACTCCAATGAAATTTTTTGAAGGGATATGTGATTTTTTTTCTAATTCAGAGTCTTTTTTTTTTTTTTTTTTACTGGAAAATATTTAACAAATTTTTTCAATGCTGTAAAAAAAAAATGACCATGTCACATAATATTAGAATTTTTTTTTTTGTTTTGTTTTTGAAATTTGTTTGAAATATTTTTAATCTTATCAGTACTGATCAGAATCATAATTCTCTCCCAGCTCTAGAGTATCTCCTATTTTGTGAGTAGTGTAAAGTAGTATACATATATATTTAATCAGTATAGCTTGTGGAAAACTTATTTATTTATAATATTTATAGACGGTGATTATAAATGAGAGAATTAAAAATTTACTTTTATTTCTGTACATTTTTAAAATATTTTGTTTAATGAAGTAAAAGCAATTATATTCTATAAAAGTTTTAAACACAAATCAATAAACTTAATTAAAGACTATTTATAATGTTTTTAAAAAAAGGTGAAACATATAATTCTTGATGTATAATTTAATATTCAATTTTTTTTGTTATTATTGTTTCACTGAGCAATTTTTGTGTCTCATTTCCTACATAAATTTCTTCTACTTTAAATAACACGTTGGTTGTTATTTTATTATTATTATTTTTTACTAACACTGTAGATTAATTAATCTCAACAAAAATAAATTGTTTTTGTTGAGAAGTATTTAGTCCCTAAGGTATTAAATTTATTTTCTATGTTAAAAAATTCGAGAGCACTTAGATAAAGAGGCAGAAGATAAAAAGGTCCAGAAAAAAATTTCTCAGCAAAAATAATTTAAATATTGTAAAATTTGAAAATATTAATGATTAGAGCCCTGATTTCAATCAAGCATTTCTTTCGTAAAAATAAATTTAGTTGTATTAAAACATGTAAAATTGAGGGGCAATTTTCATTTTATGATGTAATGTGATATAACCATATATAATTATAATGCTTAAATCGTATAAAATAATTGTTAAAAATATAATTTGTAAAAAAAAAATAAGAAACAATTTGCATTTCAGTCTTGCCATCTATGAAATAAACACCTTAATAATTTTTATTTGGAAAATTTAAGCAACAAAACCCTTCCTTTAATAGGTAGGAAAGTTAATAATAATGAGAAAGAAAAAAAAAGCTTTCATATATATATAAGTAAGGTTGTGCTTTGCTTGTATTCTTCAAAAGTATATTTAAACAATGGCTATTTTGAAACTTAATTTGAATTTGTTTCAAAAATGAGACTGATATTACTGCTTGTCTGTTCTTTTGCATATTTGAACAATGTCTTTAGAAAAATTGAAATATGTACAAAAATGTGACTGAAATTATTCTTTGCCTGAACTCTTTAGACATGTTTGTTCATGTCTTGAAACATTTTCAATTAGATCTTGAAACATTGTCTGTTCATTCTAATACAATTTGTTGTTTTTCATATGTAATATTTTCTTCCTGATTTCTAAAACTCTCTTTTATTTATAAGTTTTGTAAAAATTATTATAACTATTTTTGTTTTTTTTCCCTCCATTATGGAGAGGTATTTAATTATGCATTGCATATTATAAATATTAATTTCCTTCAGGATATATTTTAACAAGTTAATCAAGTTTAATCTATATTTTATTCTATTATATATAAAAAAAAATTTTAATAAGCATTTGTAAATTTAATTTTTCTAATTTGTGTTGTCTAAACTTCTGTTTCATTATCTTTATGGAGAAATCTGTGATATTTAGAAAAAAAAGTAAGGTAACATTTTTAAGTTTATAAATTATAATATAATTATTACGAGTAAATTTTGGTTTTTGTGTTGCTTATAACTTCTAAATGCATCAGCAAGCATCTCTGTTATTTTGTGAGATAAAAATCTTTTTGAGAGAGAATTCTAAATGTAACTATAATTTGTTACCAAATCGAATATTAGATACCTTGTTTTTTCTAAAAATCACAGAAATGTAATTTTGTTTGTTATTTTTCTGTGATATATACAAAATATAGAAGTACTGTGCTGTTGTATTGAAGTAATCAGAAATTTTTGGTTTCAATTGAAGGGCTAGAGGCAGTAAAATAATAGCCAGTGTCAACTTTTTACATCAAACTGTTATTTTATATTGTTTCCAGATAAGCTCTTAGTAAAGATTCTGGAATTTCCACCAGTTAATAGCACTATACACCAGAACATCCTATTGCCTACTCTGAAATCGTGGTTTTTTATTACTAATGCTCTCCTAAACAATTGAAAGTGTGGCTTATCATTATATTTCCTCAGGCCTTTCAATTACTAGTCCAATTCACATAAAAAGTTTTTAGATATTTTTAAGCATGATTTTATTTTAAATGTGTTAAATAAAATTGGTGTTTTTATCTGAGCAGTTGAAGAACCGTTTTTAATTAAATACTATGTTGTCGTTTTTATAAATTGAATATAAAAAAAAATGTTTAAGATTCAAATAAGGTTTTTGAGGCCTTGCCGATATTGTAAAAAATATTTGAAATTTATTTTCATATTTATTACTGCCTACCAATTGCGTAAAACTTCAGTTTAATTCTTGCAAACTAAACGTTAGCATATTTTTTTTAAACTTACGCTTAAGAATTCTGTGAACTTCTATGAAAAATAAATATTTTTAAAATGCAGAACATTGATTTTTTTGATATTAATATTTGCAATAGCATCTAGTGGTCATACCATTATTCGCTGATGGTAGTGAAAATTAATTGTAAAAAGTTGACTTTTTGATTGAAAAGTGCTTTAGTAGCATATCCAAAATATCATTCTTAGTCTTTCTTTTTATAAATATTGTTTACTTTTTATGATTTAAATAATGTTCCTTTCCTTTTAAGAAAAATATGCATAATTATACGTATTTTTACTTCATTTGAAGCAGCTTTAAGTGAACGTATGCTTACATTTTCATTCTTTGTGGACTTCAGCATAAATGTAGATAGCCTTGTCACTTATTATGTAAGCATTTTTTTTTGTTTGTAATTTTGGGCTCTCATTACCTCTTATCAGCAATTTATGTAATTTTTTACTAATTATACTGATTCTGTCAAATTCTTAATAGTTTTTTTTTCACATAATAAAATTAATTTAGTTTTTTAGGAGCTTTACTTTTACTCCTTTAAATGCTTGTTATATTTTAACTTTAACGCACCTTTGACTAATAACACACCTTTCCTTTGGCGGAGTTTTTTTTGTTGCCAGACTAGTTAACATTCTATAAAGTCACGAACTGGCACCCCTTTTTCCAGAAGCAATTTTTTGTCACATGTGAAGCATGTCTGCCGTGTGGAGCTGTGTCATTCTTTTTTTTTTCTTACAATGCAGTCTAACCTCGATTTATCATTCCTGCATCTGTTTTTCTGTAATTTTCGTCTTTTTTTTTTAATGGTCCCCTCACAAATGCTTTTCTTATAATCTTAATAATGCCCTTTTTGAAAGTAATATTCTTGCATCTACCATTTAGAAATGATACCAACTATTTTTTGAGAAAAAATAATATTGAAGCTATTTTGTTATGAAAAGAAAAACAATAATCCCTGATACTGCTATAGAAAAGAAACTAAGGCTATTTTACAGTTTGGAGAAAACCCCTTAAACAACACTTTTGATGTTTCTGCACGATTTGATAAAAATGTGATGAAACTTGTGTTGGTTTAAGAAATAATTTCAGAATCTGAAGAAGTTAAGTCTAGTGCTTCTTAATTATTTTTCAAGTCATTATTTGATATCTTATGTTGACCTGTATTCCTCGTTTTCCCTTATCTATTGTTCTCAATGAATGGTCCCAAGAGAAGAAGCTATATTGTTTATGTAGGCAGGAGAAAGTAGGTACCAGTGCAATGAAAAGTCGTACCGATAACCCTGGCTCTCAGGTGATTAAGGCGAAGGTTCTATGAACTTTTGTACATATCTCTATATGAACATACAGCTATGTACAAAGCTTTATGTTCAAATTTGCTTTTGTAGATTATTAAATTATTTAGCTCCTATTACTGCAATTTTTCTCTTGCCTGTTCCCAGACTAAGTAAACAAAAAAAAATAATAATAATTGTTCCCAAAGTGAGTAAAGTTATCTGTGTAGTCCGGGACTAAGCGAAGGCACATAATAATAAAAATGAAAANATAGTGCCAATTTATTTTTCCAAATTTATGTAGATACTGAATTTTGATGTTCTATTTTCAAGGACACTATATTTACAACTTGCAATACTCTGAAGCATTAAAGAAAATAATAGTTTGCAAAGTTTAAAACAGAATGGGGAAAATTTACCAATTTTATTCAATAGTGCTAATTTATTTTTTCCAAATTTTCGTAAATTTTTAATTTAAATGTTTTATTTTTAAGGACACTATATTTACAGCTTACTTAATTGTTATTTACAGCTTACAATTCTCTGGAGTATTAAAGAAAATAATAGTTTCCCAAATTCAGTACAACCAATGCTCAGTGATCTATGTGATAGATATAATTCAGCTTTAAAAACACATATTGCTTTTATATAAAAGTTCATTTTTCATTGTACAGTGCTGTTGAAAATTGTGTATGTGACGATTTAATTCAAATGTATTCAGAAACAGATTTTGTTATTTTGCATGTGGAATTAATAATTGAAGATTATTTTAGACCTAAAAATGTGTTATAGTGTTAATGTCAAGGAAGTATGTTTTATTTATTCTTGTAATAGTGCTTTTTAATGAAGTGTATTTTTATGCTATATTTATGTAATGGAACTCTACTTTAAAAAGTTCGTTCGATTGTAAGTATATTTGTCATATAGTTATAAAATAAATATTCTGTTACAATAATACTGATCATTATTTCTATATATCCCTTAATCTTGAGTTTTCTGTTGAGTTGATAAAATTATCAATTTTATGATTTAGGCTGCCAATTCTATTGAATATTTTGTTTTATAACCGTTGTTGAACACTAGGCCGAATTTTGAGTTAATGACTATCAATGTTCAGCTCTGTAGCCCTGTAATTTTGAATCCAATTCAGAAGACAAAGAAACTCATAGATCAAGTATTGGGAGAAATTTGCCTTCGTGAAAGACTTTTTGATGGAACTGACCTGCAATCGCGTTACATGGAGAAGAAAACCTCGGAAATCTATCACGGTTAGTCTGACAGCAAGGGGACTCTAACCCATGATCAGTCTACCACTGAGGATATTTTTCGTCAACAGTGTGATCGGTGCAAGCTGGCTGCGAATTTCGTATCGACTATTCAACTCTGGGATTCGAACCCGAGTCACCTCATTTGTAGACGAGCGCTCTACAACCTGAGCCACTACTGCTCCCTACTGAATATTGAGACCTATACACGACAATTAAAAAATTAGAAAAAGTTTAATTTGTCGTGTAACGCCAATTGACGGAAGCTTTTTTCTTAAGGCCATCACTGGAAATAGAATCCTAGCCCATAAATAATTTAAGGCACTAAAATAGTTTAGTGCCTTAACCATTATGCCATAAAAGGCGATAGAGTTAATTAAAATCTTAATTTTAATCCTCACTGTTCATATAAATTAACTGAAAATTTCGTCTATTTATCTGTTTTTGTGGTATTTGTATAGAGTGTTTAAAGCTAAATTAACACTACACAGCGGTTCCTAGTGCCTGTTCAGATCTGAGTGAAATCTCAAAAATATGTTATTTATTTTAAGTAGTCGAGGTTTTCGGTGGAAAAAATTGTTTGAAATTTTGCCGTCAGGTGGCGTTTCAACACAGGCAAAGGAAAGGTAACTGCTCAAAAATTCGAAGAATAGCTGAATTATAAAGCTAAACAACGTGAATAAAGAACAAATAGAATTACAGAATAGGACATTGTTGTTTCAGTTAAGACTTTCCTCAGTATCTGAACACCAAATGATAGTAAAAAAGCAACCAGATAAACATGTACAAAGTGGTTGGTTAAGTAGAATAAGATAATGAAAGAAAAACAGTGAGAAACTCGTGGTTGAGTGTGACTCCAGGATGTAGAATTTGAATTAGAAAAAGGATGGGATACTAGAAAACTCCTTAACTAAATTTTTCGAAATGTGAAATGATTCCTAGAAATCAAGGTCAGCAAATGGAGAATGAAAGAATGTTTTCAGCTGAAGAGAACTCAAACCTATGATTGGAGTTTCAATTTTGTAGGGCGATGAAAGACCGTTTAAATATCCTAATTTTGCATTTTTCAGAAGTCGAAATTTAAGGGTAGATTTAATTTGTCTAATATAGTAAAAATACCCGAATTTTGTGTTCTTTTTTATTTAATTAAAACATCGAAGTTAATGCGCAAAAATGACTTTTAGCTTAACCTTGTATAAATGGATAGTAAACTTTTTATTCACCCTGAATCTGAAGCGGAAAGAAAAATTCTAGCACAAAAACTTGAAGTTTTATTCATTTATTCTTATTTAAATTATAAATTTTCTCAGCAAGTTTAAAATTATATTTCCGTTATTAAGAGGGGGAAAAGATACTTTATTAAAGGAATATTTTTGAAATATTACTGTTCCTTCGGAGCGTTCTGTTGTTGTACCAGATTTAGTTTATATCACCGTTTATTTGCCTTGAATGCATAATATTTGCGTTTACTCTTGGCACAGTGCAGTCAATTTCAACTCTTGTGTCATTAAACTCAATATTTCTTCACGATTGTGTTGATGGCTTTCAGATTTCATACTCCTAAAACATTATTTGCTTCATAATTTGTGATTTTTTTTTTTTGCAAGTTTTTATTAACTTGCTTTCATGTCTTTTAGGGAGGAATCTTTGCAATCAAAATTTAAACCAACTAGAGCTCTCAAGTCTCTTTTGAATTCTGTACCTGAAGAAAATGCAAGTGTTAAACGTTTTCTGATCGCTACAAGTTGAATTTATCGTCTATCGAAATTCCGACCACTTTCTGGCTTACTAGAGTTCTGAAATCTCCTTTGAAAATTTGGGACTGATCTCAATTCAAGTTAAAATTGTTTAATAATTGGTGTAGCGTAATTATGACCAACCGGAATTTTGACCTTTTTCCGACGTAAACAAACTGCTAAAATGTATGATAAAAAAAATTTAAAGTTTTCATGCGGAATAAGAGAAAATAATTTTTTCTTTTGATAAATCTTAAACGAAAAAAGTAGGACGCGTCACTTTCCTAATAAATTTCGATCACTGAAAATTCTTTTAAATCTTTAGAAAGTCTTATGCACCTAAACTTTTCTCGTTTGATCTCAAATAAAATGATTAATTGCTCATTTTTAGCATTAGCTAACTAGGCTTTTTAGCAAAAGCCTAGTTACTAAATATTTAATTTTTATTATAAAAAAAAAGAACTGCAAGTGAATTTAGGATTAAGTTTATTTAATTCTGATTGGTTATCGGTCGCTAAAGTAATTTATGCTGATCTCTTAATCTATGCAAAACTTTAATGCATTTTTTCCCTCTCGTTTACACATTTTAATACAGAATTTTATTTAAATTTATTATCTTTGATTTTCTTTTAAAATAAATTCATAGCCTAAAATATCTTAACTTTTTACTTTACATATAAATTTTTTTTTTCAAATGTTCCAGGTGAGTAGAAAACATTTTTTGAAAATCGATTCAGTAGTTTCTCAAAACTGGATATTTTAATATGTAACTCTCTATTAGAGAGAATTGCTTTCTCATTTTAAGGTGAAAAAGTTCTTAAATCTCTGAAGGTATGACATCCCAATACTTGAGATCTCTAAAATGATTCTTAATGTTGGAGAGTAAATTTATTTTAGGAATTCCCTGGTCATTCATATGATCGATTTTAGTAGCCATGGCTACATGACGTAAGGATACCGCACAAGGCATGCCGGGAAATCAAGGTTCTTTGGAAGAACTCCTTGTTTTCCCGTTTTTATGCCAAATTTGGCTAACTTTCTGTGTTTGGCGATTTACGAAGTTACTCACAAAATATTCTTTGGAATTTTACACAAAAGAAGCTTTGATGAGACAACATAAATTAAAATCCAATAAAAAAAAATAATTTAGTAAATGAGTAAGGGCGTTTATGTCTTTTTATTTAGAATTGAATACATTTTCATTATTTATGAAAAATTTTTACCAATTTTTGGTGTTAAATATTGCACATTCCTAACAAGTATAAATTTATCAATAAACAGTAAAATATGAACATCGTGTTATTCATAGAATCTTTTGCAAAATTTTTTTATTAATTTTTTGCCTTCTTTAATAAATATTTTTTATAAAGTGAAATAAATTTGTCAAGTCTAGTTTTAGTGAATCGGATACTTTTTGAAATGCAAAATAAAAAATAATTCCATTTTTAAGGTTTTTTTTTCTTTTTTAAATTTTCGAATCTTAAATGGAAATATATTTCGCTATTTAAATCCAGAAAGTTGTAATTCCATGCGTTTTTTTATTTAATTTATTCAATGGATATTACTTGTGTCGTTAATTTGTTATCAATCATTTTTTTTAATATGAAAACTTAAAATTTAGAACTACTTTTTTTTTTTCGAAAAATATCTTGCAATCATTTAACTATTTATTTATATTTCAGATGGAATTTACGTATGTCTGCCCCCAAACTATTTATGAACTAAAGGTTTTGTTAAAATCGTCTATACTAATGCACTGTAAAGAATTCCGAATCAAATTACAGTAAAAAATACTGACAACGTGAGTGTAACATTCCTTAAAATCCATTTTTACCCTAAAATTTCATATCGTGAATTTTACTGTATTAATTTAATTACAGCGATTTTATAATAAATATTACTACATACGAATTACGGTATATCCTATCTTTTATTACGTAAAATTTTACGGTAAAAATTACTTACTGCCGGCACTTTTTATCCTTAATTTTTCACAGGTAGGATATTAGCGACGGTTTGAAATTCATCTTTAATAATGATCTAAACTAAAGTCAATACACCACCACACTTAAATAAGGGAGTAGATGGTAGTGATAATTATCCATCCTTTGTACTACAATCTTCAATCACCCAATCAACATAATTCAAATAACTATTCAGAAGGGGTTCTTGATTTCATAGAAAGCTTTTATCGTTTCATCAGGAAATGAAAGTCTGATATTAGACAATGATTAACTAATGTAAATAACCCCCAAAA